GCTTTGCCTTAGAAGTCTTTACCTGCTTCTGGAAGCCGCTGGGTGCGAGGCGCGTGTGCCTCGCCGGGCTCCCCAGGGCTAAGTTGGTCTTATGTCCTCACAAGGGGGGAGCTCTCCGGGGGAGACCTTGGTCTTGTTTCCTTGCAGGGCGTTGCCCGGGTTTCCTTGGTCCCTTGGTCCTGGTTCGGAGCCAAGGAATCGAGACCGAGAGACCGAAGAACCAAGAGCAAGGAATAACTGAACCGAGAAACCAAGGAACCAAGGAACCAAGCAACCAGGGAGAGAGCAAGGAGCCGAGACACCAAGACCAAGGAACCAAGAAACAAAGAAACCAAGGAACCGAGACCAAAGAACTAAAGCACCAAGGACAAGGAACCAAGGGGACCCGAGCAGTTGTAAGGAAACACAGCCAAGGAACCAAGAAACTAAGGAACCAAGAGACCAAGACCAGAGAACCGAGGAACGAAAGCCAAGGAACCAAGGGGACCCGAGCTGTTGTAAGGAAACACAACCAAGGACCCACGGAGAACCCACCTGTAAGGAAACAAAACCAAAGAGCCCCGAGGAACCCGAGGATTATAGCGCCTCGCACCCACCAGCCGCTCAAAAACAAGGAAAGACCCAAACCTAATCCAAGCAGCGCCAGGCAATGCGAAGCAACACCAACAAACGGCTAGCGATGCAAAGCAAAGCGATGCAGCGTCAGGAAATGCAAAGCAATGCAAAGCAATGCCGAACTTGCTCAACTCTCTGCTGCGGATGATTATCCCTAGCTGGGGTCGCGCCAGTTTATTTGATAGCCGGGTTAGTAGGCAAGCAGGCCCAAGCGGGCAACATGTGAGTCTACGACAAATAAAACTGTCGCCTGTCAGTCGAAGCCCGAGTATGCAATTTGGTAGCGTGGGCCGGGCAATCAGACCTCTGGTGTTACACGTTCCCCAAACAGTGTTTGCACTGACGGGTTCTTACGTCTTATCTGGGGGGGTGGGCCTGCGGGACGCACTGGCCACCATGCGGCCGCGGTCTCCGCCTCGTCGCCGCCAGTCGCCGCCCGTCGCCTGGGCCTGCGGGCCGCTCTGGCCGCCATGTGGCCGCCGTCGCCGCTTCGTCGCCGCCCGTCGCCGCCCGTAGCCGCCCGTCGCCTGGGCCTGCGGGCCACTCTGGCCGCCATGTGGCCGCCGTCGCCACCTCGTCGCCACCCGTCGCCGCTCGTCGCCTGGGCCTGCGGGCCGCTCTGGCCACCATGTGGCCGCCGTCGCCACCTCGTCGCCGCCCGCCGCGTCGTCACCGCCCGTTTCGCATTACCTGGCATTGGTGTGCATTGCTTCGCATTGTTTTGCATTGCTCTGCATTGCGCTGTACTGCTGTGAAATACGTCGCACGGCTCCACAACGTAGATTGGCTGTTGGGGAAAACTGCCTTTCCTAAGTGACACCACGTCGACTGCCCCACATGGATTGCACCACCTGTATGGCGCAACCGATATGTTCGTCTCTATAACAAGAAGAAACTGTGCCCCCCGCCCGACGCCGGACTTAGCGGTACCTCCTGGGACATTGCAAATTAAATGTGACGTTGCCCGTTATTTTGCAAATGAACTCATGCCATCCCAGCGAAGCTGATATCGACACCCCCCGCCATCCATGTCAAATATGACCATGCGCGCACACACGATTTATCAACAATCATCGGGCTTCAAAGATTCCCTCGACGGGGGGGGGGGGGAACAAAAAAAAAAAAAAAAAAAAAAAAACGCCGTCGCATGCGCATGGGACATCAATCAGACAGGCACGCTTCCGTATGAAATTCCTGAATTGCCCGAATCATTTTTCATATACATGCACGCACATACATGGTAACTATATATATACATACATACATACATACATACATACATACATACATACATACGTACATACATACATACATACATGTGTGCACGTATACCTGCATAATACATTCATGTAGACACGCACATACGCACAATGTAAGTATATGATTGCATAATTGTGTTTCGAAAGACACGCGCGCTGTCTTTTATCTTATGAGGAAACCGAGTAGGTGTTCGACACTCTCGCCATATGAAACCAAACGGGCTTCTCGCGCGCGCATGCCGAAAACATTCGAACGTTTTTGCGAATTTGCTGGGGGTGCACGGTCCTTGTAAAATAACGCCCTGTGGGCCCACTGCGCGCGTGTACCGCGCGCATGTCAGAATCCTTCCGAAGCCTTCATCACCGACGCGCTGCCGCTAATCATCGTCACTGGCGTGACCAGCACCGGCATCATGATTGGAGTTGTCGTCGTCATCGTTACCATCGCCACCATCACTGTTACGAGCATCATCATATACGCCGTTGTCGACGTCACCATGATACCTCACCCATCAGAGTCACCGACTCGCACTGAAATGCCCGCGAGCAACGCGAGCTGCGAGCCGCGCAGGGAAATCTCCACCGGTCAGCGCCACCGCAGCCGCGTCGGTCGCGCCAAACTAAGCGGCCGCCCTGCGCGCGAGCTTGTGCGCGTTAGCGCAGCCGCAACGATGCGCCAGCCAGCGCCAAGCAGTCATCGCAATCGCCGCCGTAGTGGGGGTTTTGCAAACCAAGTTGCGGGCGGGTGGGTGGGAGGATTGCGGGAGCAGTGGACTTGACAACTCCAACGTGCTCAAAACATGGCGCGTCATACCTGGCACAACTTAACTTACAAAGCAATTATAGCACCACGTAGATCACACCGAATAGACTGCACATAGAATCTCTGTTTTATGAATATACACAAATATACGGTATCGTTTTGTTGCAATTCTAAACACAGATAATCAAACAAAAAACAACAATAAAACAAAAAATCCCGGGATGTATCACATCCCCTTTTTTTTATCGTATTGCAATTTACATACGATTCTGCCCCATCGCTCTTACCAAGTATGAATTTACACCATCCCAGCCGAGCCAATATCAGCCCTCCCCCCGCCATCGTGTGTAAAAAACAGCATGCGCGCACATTCGGTTATCAACAATTATCAATGTGCCAAAACCTGTTAAACGCGCGCATGCCGAAATCCACCGAAACACTCGGATTCGTAAAGGTATCAGAATCGAATGTCCCAAAAACCCATAAAACACACAGGATCTCGCAACACGGATGTTCAAGAAAAGTTTGCGCGCGCGCTCTCGCTAATTCTTAAGAAGACCATAGGTTTTCGATATGTGCATAAAATGTTATCATGTCGGTTTCGCGCGCGCATGTCGAAATCGTTCGAACGCCCTTGCGCGCGTGCCACCGCGAGAACCCATTGCAAAAAATATGACGAACTGCGCGCGCGCGCGTTGTCGCGCGCGCGTGCCAAAACAACTGCCCCCCAAACAAAAATTCTAGAAAAAAACACAGACATTCCGCAACACCAGCGTTCGAAAAGAAGCTTGCGCTCGCGCTCACGCGACTTCTTTAGAAAACCATTTTTTAAAAAAAACTGCGTTCGACATGTTTATGGAATTCTGCCAAGCGGGCCTCTGGCGCCACATGTCGAAAGCAATCGCACGCCCTTGCTCGCATTGGGGGGGGGCACGTGCCGTTTCAAATACTACAACGCGGGCCACTCTCGCGCGTCGGCCGCGCGCACATGTCGAACACTTGCCCAAACCTTCAACACCGACGGGAGGAAGCCGTCATCGTCGTCGGCGTGATAAGCATCCGCGTCGTCACTGGGCGTGCCGTCGTCGCTGTCAGCATCGCCACCAGCATCGCTACTGTCATCACCGTGTCTACCGTTGTCGCCGTTACCATGACACCGCGCCCGCCCAAATCGCCGACTCGCACTGAAATGCCCGCTGGTATGTGCCCAGCGGTCAGCGCCACCGCGGCTGCGCTGGCCGATGCGCGCGCGTGCAGGCGCGGGCTGTCGTAGCTGCAAAGATGCACCAGCCAGCGCCAAGCATTCCGCAACTGCCGCCGCATGGGGGTTGCAAACCAAGTTGCGGGTGGGTGGGATGTTTGCGTGAGCAGTGGAGTAGAGAACTTCAAGTTGAGCATTGGTGGACTGCACCACGTCAATTGCACCACACTGATTGCACCACATAGTTTGAACCACGTAGTCTGCACCATATCTATTGCAAGACCTAGATGGCACCACATAGCATGCTAGAACCACACTGGCTAACATGAGTCTATATGATTGCTGGGCGGCAATTCGCAATGATAGGCCTTGCTTACGTATTGCGTTACATATCGTTGTCTCTCTGGGCAAAGTTCCGAAGCGCCCAGTAACCGAAGCGCACCGCGTTCCAGCGGCATTGCGTGGCACGACGCACAGCCAAGAAAGACAACACTGGAGACCTAAGAGGACAAGAGACAGGTAGGGCACCAAGAGGTGAGACAATTGGGAAACCTAAGGGCCCAAACATATGTGGGCAAACACGGGGAGAAGAAACAGCAAGATTTTCATGGTGTTCTTGGTGGCTAGCATTGCTGGACATTGCTTGGCATTGCGTGGCACTGCTTGGCTATGTTGCGTCGAATTGCTCGGCATTGCGTGGCAAGGCTTGCGAGGCAGCACGTAACCAAGACCAAGGAACCAAAGAACTAAGACCAGTGATTCAAGAACAAGGAACCAAGGAGCCAATACTAAGGAACCCGAGGAAGGCAGCCAACCCGAGGACAAAAGAACCAAAAAACAAGACCAAAGAACCCGAGACGTGCCAGCCGGTCAAGCCTCCCTCCCACCGATTCTCTTCAAAAGCAAATAAGAGCAAAGTCTAATTCGACATAAACTACATATGAGCATAAACGTCCGGAGATCCCCACGGATTTCATGAAAACCTCCCCTGGAGCACGAAGCACGTCACTGGCGGCGCCAGAGGCCCCGCCAGGGGGACCCCAGCGACGACCCAAGACATCCGCGGGGATCTGCGAAAGCTTCCGTCCAGGCTTGCTTCTTGTTTTCCAAGCCTGGATCCTCCCGCCCTCTTCCCCGAGGAGTTCGGCTGCGTCCCCGGAGCCTGTCGCGAGCAGCTGGTCCTGCAACGGCGACCACCTCACCGCGGCGGTCCACGGCGCCGGCGACAGGAGGGCCTGCGCGGGGGCCCTCTGGCCCTGGCGCATGTCCCAGATGAAAAACCGGCAGTCTTCCGCGCACGTCGCTAGGAATCGGGTCTCGGAGCCGACGTCATCATCCTTCTCCTCCATTATCCCTCCATCCATCCTTATGGACAACACAACTCCCCCTTGCGGAACAAGCAGACGTGCCCGTGGGCCAGACGGGGCTTTTCGCTCGAGACTTCGGCAACATGGAACTGCTCAAAGGATGGAGGCCCCGGAACTATAGCATCTGAAACTGTTCAAAGGATTGAGGGATTCCACCAATCATAAGGATGGAGGGCTGGTCGTTTACAAAATTCAGCTCTCGCCTTAGCGCCGCGTCCAGTCGCTTCAAATGATTCCGAATGAAAAAGAGGTGGAGGGCCGTTCCGTCTGCTGATCATCGTCTGTCGTGCTCGTGGATGCGTTTCCACGAGCTACACCACACCTTGCCTAACCACAAGATTCCGGTCAAATTGCGCCTGCGGCTGTTCGACGCTGTAGTCAGCCCAACAGTCTTGTACAATATGTCGACGACTCCCCTTACAGTATCGCAGTTGGTGAGACTCGACGGAGTACAACGAAAGATGATGAGACGCATTGTGGGCTGGGTGAGGCACGACGAGGAGGATTGGCATTACACATGGCGTCGCATGAAAGAAAGATCTACTTCTGCGTGTAGTACTCGCGTAGCGGTCTGGAGCCAAGCGCGCGGCAAGCCAAGGCGAAGACTAATCGAGAAGGTCACAAATCGACCGACAAGCATCTTCTGTCGCGAGTACAGCTGGTCGACGCGGCCAACTGTGCCTGGCCAGGAGACTTACAGAAGGCGAGAACGCCCGGTGCGCATATGGACTGAGAGATGGCATTCGCGCGCGTGTGTGGGTGTGGTGTGGTGTGGTTGTTGTGCGTGTGGTGGTGTGTGCCTGTGTGTTGCACGAGAGCTTAGCATGCCATTTTTCGTCCCGTGTCCTGTGCAGGACCGGCCTCGTGGCCGTGCGGGATCTGTCTGTCTGGAGGGCCGTTCGTTTCCTGAATGCGGCTCTCGGTTCAGACTTCCTTACACTCCGACCCGACATTTCGAATTGCGCCAAAAATACCAGGATGGAGGCCTGGTCTTGCAAAATGCGACTCTCGCTTGAGACCTCATCAAACTCTACAGCACGAAGTTCACAAGCGTGCAACACTTAAACAGATGGAGGGCTATGGCTGGACACTTCCTTGAACTTTCTCATGCACACTTCTTTGCGCTCAAGTTTGCATTTCAAACTAAAACGATGGAGAGTGAGTCCTTTCCAAAAATGGTTTTCGCCACAGTGGCAGGCACACCAGGCGCTCGTTATTCAAGGAGGATGGTTTCCGCAGTGGAACTGGGTACTTGTTGTGACTTATGCGGAGGGGACTTGGGACGATAGTTTAACGCAGCATCGTTGATGCATCCTGGGTTTACTCTAATACTCCTCCTCCCCTCCTCCTTCTCCTCCTCCTCCACCTCCTCCTCCTCCTCTTGCCCCTCTTCCTCAATGTCTATCGAAAGTCATCCTGCTCCTCCCCACACCCCCACGCCCTCCCTCCTCCACCTCCTCCTCGTCCTCCTCAGCCAAAGCCTGCACCTCCTCCCTGTTCCTCCTTTTGCCCCTCTCCATCCTCCCCGTTCCATCTCCACTCCTCCCCCTCCCCCGCCTCCCCGTCTTCCTCCTCATCTGTCTCCGTTCCCTCCTCACCCTCTTCCTCCTCCTCCTCCCCCTCATGTGTACATGTGTACATGTGTACATGTGAATGCAGAGTCACGCATGCGCGACTCCACCGCAGAGGAAAAGAAAAAAACATATAACGTAGATCGCAACCCGTGCAGTGCGGGCGCGAAGAGTCAGGAAGAACCCGCTGTGGGAGACCAGATGCTGGTGGCATTACCCGAACAAGTGGGCCAACCGCAAGCAGCGAAAGCAGCGCTGAAAGGCGAAGACACAGGAAGACTAGGTGAACGAAGAACAACATATACATAAAGACTCGGAGGTCCGCGCGGATTTCTCGGATCGGCGCTGGACTCCCCTCCCTGGCGCGCGGAGCGCGCCAGGGGCGGCGCCGGAGGCGCCGCCAGGGGGGCCCAGCGCGGATCCGAGACATCCGCGCGGACCTCTGAGTTGTTAGATTTATGTCGTTCTTCGTTCCCCTAAGGACGGGCAGAAGCCGATACGCTCAGAAGCTGGAAATGGAGCACGCCAAGAAGAAGCGGGCCACAAACGGAGCGGAGTCGTGGAACAACAGCCCGGTCACCTTCAGCAGAGCAGCATCGGCTCAGAGGGGTCGGCGCCCGCGGCAGACTCTGAGAATGTCAACCCTGGCCGAGCATGGGACAGGCGGCCGAGCGACTGATCGAGAAGGTCAAGTGGCATTTCGCTGACAAGTCGGCGGGCAAGACGACCACGGAGCTTATCGACGCGGCCACGTGGGGGCTGCATCACACGGAGAGCTGAATCAGAAAGTGCGTGGCCGAAATTGTGGAACCGTCAACACAAGCTCAAGGGAGCCGAAGCATCCACGGACGGGGCGAGGCGGACATCCAGAGCAAATTGGTCGCGCTGCACGCGATGGCGGTGGAGCAGGGCCAGAAGGACGTCTTAGCGGGCACCAGCGACAGCAAGGCGAAGCGTGGCACGCTGCGCTCCATCGCCGAGCGGCAGGGCCCAATCACCAAGCTCGACAGGGCCGTAGCGGCCTTCGCCGCCCAGCGCCCACCTGGGGGGCTTCTCGGGTGGCCAAGTGTTGGGGACGGTGTCGCGGAAGGGCCTCGCGGAAAGCAGCTGCCTGACTCGACGTCACCCAATAGCCAAACGCGGACAACCGACACTGAGCTCAAACGGATGGCTTACAAGAGCCGCGATCGCGGTCGACGAGCCCTCGATGGTCACAACGAGCCCTCGAGGGCCAAGAACCAGATTCCGCTGGACGCGCACGGGCGCGAGGCCCCGACGGCCTCGCATCATAGCGACTTCAGAATCCGCCACCGTGCCTTCAGCACGTGGTGGAGTGCCCTACGTGTCATACAATTGTGCGTCGTAGAGGGACCGTCATCTTGTCTTCGTGTAGGTTTCTAAGGGGCCTGGCCCCACTCCTCCTTCCTCATCATCATTCCCGTCTGCCTCCTCGAAGCCCTGAAGGCTCGGGCGGTTCTGTTTACGACTGGGGCCCTCGCGCCCAAAAGCCAAAGGGGGGGGGAGGGACAGGCCCCCTCCTCCTTTCCCCTCCCACTCCTCGCCCCCTCCGCTTCCCCCTCCCCCCGACCCATGCTTCTCCCCCCTGCTCCCCCTTTCCTGCCTCTCAGCCCTCCTGCCCCCGGCTCCCTGCTCCTCCTCCCCTGCCCCCCCGCTCCCCCCCACCCTCCTCCCTCTCTGCTCCCTCTCCCCCGCCGGGCGGCGAGGCCGATCGGCAGGGGATCGACGACGTGATCGACGTCGCCGCCCAGCAGACGACGACGGCGACGACGCCCAAACTCGTCGTCGTGTATGGTCGAACCGAGGGAGGAGGAGGAGGAGGAGGAGGAGGAGGGAGAGGAGAGGAGGAGGAGGAGGAGGAGAGGAGGAGGAGAGGAGAGAGGGAGGAGAGAGGAGAGAGAGGAGAGAGGGGAGGGGAGGAGGGAGGAGGAGGAGGAGAGGAGGAGGAGGAGAGGAGGAGGAGGAGGAGGCGGAGGAGGAGGAGGAGGAGGAGGAGGGAGGAGGAGGAGGAGGGAGGAGGAGGAGGAGGAGGAGGGGGAGGATAGTGTGATGGGGCTGGAGGACGCAGTGTCTGCGTCCCACGCGCTGGTCAAACACCCGTGCCCAAGACGGTGTCAGAGCCAGCGGCTCACGCAGGCAGGCAGTCTCCCTGGGCGTGGAGAGCACGAGGCAGTCGCAGCAGCAGACAGGCGACAAAACACCAGCTTTGTGAGGCGCTGCCATCTCCAGCCATCGAAACAATAATAGACGAGCGCGTTCCAGCACTCGCAAAGTAGCTACTCGCAAATGGCCTGGATCCGCGGCGGAGGATCTACGACCCATTACATCGAGGCAAGCATGTTTTTGTCCGAACGTTTGCGAGTAGGCACTTTGCGAGTAGTGGAACGCGCCTGAGGAAGAATGATGAAAAGACAACACACACACACACTCAGACCTACAGGGAAGAGGATCGGAGACGGGCACGGCGATGAAGGCCCTGCTGGCATGGGTGCGAGTTGCAGGACCCCGAGGCGGGCTCCCGGCCTAAGTGGGGACCCCCATCCGACAACACGCACCCACAGGCCCCCCTGGAAGCCCAGCCGCATGAAATCTGGGCGTCGCATGCGCTAGCTGTCAGCTCACGAGGGAGAGCAGCGCAAGCCTCGGCACGGAGCCCTGCCTGTGAACCCGCGCCCTCAGATGACGGCGCGAAAGCGCCGCCCCCGAGCCGAGGGCCCTGAAACCCCGTTCGACCACCGTGAGGGGCACACGGTGCGAGTGCACATGGGGCCCAGAACCACCCCCTTAAGCCCGTAGGCCAGGTGGCACATGTCCATGAGCCTCCCCCGCCCATCCTGTGGGTCGGGGGAGGCCCGAGTGACAAAACCCCGCGTGGAGCGGACAGGACCAAACGACCCCCCCCCAGGCTGCCAAAAGTGGCACTCGCCACTCCCCTTACAGGGTGGTTCTGAGCAGACTCAAATTCCACCAGGGCGCACACGCCTGCTGCCATAGCCCGCCGCCCCTGCCCTGGGGGCACGGAGGAGGACGAGGAGGAGGAAGAGGAGGAGGAGGAGGAGGAGGAGGAGAAGGAGGAGGAGGGGGAGGAGGGGGAGTGGGAGGGAGAGGGGCAGGAGGCGGAGGAGGGCGAAGAGGCGGAGGAGGGCGAGAAGTAGGGGGAAGGCGTGGGGAGGCGGAGAGGGGAGGGGAGGGGAGGAGGAGGGGGGAGGGCGGGAGAGGAGGAGGTGGAAATGGAGGGGAACCACGGACGTCGTCGTCGTCGTCGTCGTCGTCGTCGTCGTCGTCGTCGTCGTCGTCGTCGTCGTCGTCGTCGTCGTCGTCGTCGTCGTCGTCGTCGTCGTCGTCGTCGTCGTCGTCGTCGTCGTCGTCGTCGTCGTCGTCGTCGTCGTTCGTCGTCGTCGTCGTCGTCGTCGTCGTCGTCGTCGTCGTCGTCGTCGTCGTCGTCGTCGTCGTCGTCGTCGTCGTCGTCGTCGTCGTCGTCGTCGTCGTCGTCGTCGTCGTCGTCGTCGTCGTCGTCGTCGTCGTCGTCGTCGTCGTCGTCGTCGTCGTCGTCCGAGATCGGGGGCCGCCAGCTCCCGCGAGACCCGAGGAGGAGCTCTGGCGAGCGCGGGCTCCAGTCCAGCGCAGTGACGGGCCGCAGGTGCCCGGGCAAGGCGCAGAGGCACGTCCCCGCGGCGCCGCCCTCCTGAACGGAAGGGGGGAAAGGAGGACAAGGGAAAAAAGGGAGGATGACCAGGATAACCTTGAGGAGAAGGAGAGAGGAGGAGGAGGAGGAGGAGGAGGAGGAGGAGGACGAGGAGGAGGAGCAGGAGGAGGAGGAGAGGAGGAGGAGGGGCAGGAGGAGGAGGAGGAGAAAGGGGAGGAGGAAGAGGAGAAGGAGACTCACTTCCCATGAAAGGGAGGACCAAGGAGCAGGACCAGGAAAACGTGGAGGAGAGGGAGGAGGAGGAGGAGGAGAAGGAGGAGAGGGAGGAGCACGGGGAGGAGGAGCTGAAGGAGCTGGAGTTGTGTGTGCAAGGTCAGAGCCATAGTTGGGTCATGGTTGTGTACAAATGTGTGTGGTTTTTGTGTTTTGTGTGTTTGTTTTATGTTCCGTCCGGCGTGTTTTGTGTGTTTGTGTTTCTGTTTGTGCTTTTTGTGTGTGTTTCCGTGTGCTGTTCCCCACCAGACAGGTTGGGGTCGCTAGATATAAACAACAGACCTCCCGCCACTCCCACCCTGCATACCGCGGCCGCCAGACCCCAAATTGTCCCGAGTGTCCCAGTTATCCCGCCTCGCGCCCTCGACAAACACGACAGAACACACCCTGCATACCGCGGCCGCCAGACCCCAAATTGTCCCGAGTGTCCCAGTTATCCCGCCTCGCGCCCTCGACAAACACGACAGAACACCCCCTGCATACCGCGGCCGCCAGACCCCAAGTTGCCCCGAGCGTCCCGGCTATCCTGCCTCGCGCCCTCGACAAACACGACAGAACACACCCTGCATACCGCGGCCGCCAGACCCCAAGTTGCCCCGAGCGTCCCGGCTATGCTGCCTCGCGCCCTCGACAAACACAAAACACAACAGAACGCACCCTGCATACCGCGGCCGCCAGACTCCAAGTTGTCCCGAGAATCCTGGGTGTCCCGCCTCGCGCCCTCGACAAACACGACAGAACACAATATGACACAACAGAACATGACAGAACAGAGCAAGAGCATGACAGAACATGGCAGAGAAAACCATATCAATATCATGACAAGATAGAGGACACCAGCATATCACACAACATACCTGAGCAGAACATAACAGAACAGATGTGTTTTGTGTTTTCGTTTTTTTGTTGAGCGACGCGAGGGCCGCCCGCGCTTGGATACCCAAAGGGAGGAAGCGGCCGGATCGTGCCGTGCTGCCCTTGCGCGACTACACACTTTGCCCGCAGCCGCCTCGACGAAGGTCCCTCGACGGCGATGTCTGAGACGACGGATCTGGCGAGTGCACCAAGAAAAGCTGACTGGGGCGCAGAGCAGCGCCATCAGCGCGAATTTCACTGCGGCTTTGGGGGGCACAGGCGACGCCCAGGAGCAGGTTGGCCACACACGTGCCCTGGACACGGCCGGTCGGTGCTACCTTAAGCATCGAGACACTTTGCCGACCACGGCTAGACAAAAATATCAAAGTTGCCCATTGGAAGGCGAAGCTTGTACACACACCTGCCCCTGGGGGTGATCATTGCCCCAGGGGGGTCGGGCTGGTGTATTGCTTCTTCTCGTGGATCCTCCCGTGGGCTCTGGTGCGCCCCCACCACCGAGCCCTCTCGGCTCCCGCGAGGGGCCGCCCGCCGGCGGCACGCGCGCCGCGAGCCTCCGCACCGCCGCTGGAGAGCCCTTGGCTCGGGGCGGCGCGGGCGCCGGCGCGGCGCTCGTGTCGAAGTCGACCACGGTCGTGCCGACGACCAGGAGCCGCCCAGGCCCGAGGCAGCTGCGGCCGCACGGCCGGCTCCCCAGCGCTCACTCGCCGCTGCGGGCCGGCGCGCCCTCCGTCGACGCGGCGCCCTCCTCGGAGGTCTCCAGCAGCACCGCCGCGGCGCCCCGCGGCGCACCGCGCGCGCAGCGCAGCGCCGCCGCGGCGCCCGCGAGCACCGCAGACACTGCGGCCGCGAGCGCCGCGGCCGCCACGGCCCCGAGAGGGGCGCCCCTCCACGCCGGGAGGCGGCCGTTGGCGAAGAGCCTGCGCGGCTCCTCTGGCGTGCATCCGCTGCACGTCGCACACTGGCCCGTCATCGCCTTGAACGCGTGAGCGCATGTGTCCTGGGCCGGCGAGGACTCTCCCTTCGCGAGCGCCGCGAGGGCGCTGCTCATGAGCTCGCGGCACGAGCCAACACCATCACACCCTAAAGCGGCGCCGCCCTCGCCGCAGGAATCTGAGAGAGGGCACTCGTCGACCGAGAAGGGCGCGGCGGAGGCTGCCACTTGTGGTGCGAACGCGCGCTGTGCGCAGATGCATTCATGACAGACCTCATTGGAAGAGCCGACGGCAACCTGCCAGAAGGCGTCCTCGTGGAAAAGATGGTCCATGCTCGTAACTTTCAGCGTGAGGGTGTGCTGACCCGCCGACAAGGTGTAGGGAAAGCTCTGCGTGACATCGCAATCGACGCAAGCATTGACTTGGCAATAGTTCCCATCGTGGCCATCCTTAGTCTTAACAACTTTGCTCCAAGATGAGCCGTCGCTGATCTGCAGGGACTCGAGCTGGGCCACCGCGGTGCCCATCACGAAGAAGGTGACAGGGGTGTCCTCGAGCACGACCACGTCGATCGTGGCGGTTGTCGACTTGAGAGCATCCCACGCCTGGCCCCCGCACTCCCCGTCGGGGTAATCCCAGCGAGCGACCGAGCCTTCGGCCGTCCACTGCCCACCTGGGAACGCGTCATCATTGTCGAACCTCCAGCCCTCCGACCTTCCAGGGAGCGCAGCAGCCAGCACTCGCCTGCGAATCGGTGCACTCCTGGCCCGCCGCGTGCGCGCGCCCGGCAAGCGCGGCGGCTGTGAGGAGGAGCCCGGACCGCGGCATGGCTGGCTCTGGCGGGCTGCTGCGCACCGGGCCACACCCGCTGCGGTGTGCACTGGGCGGGGACGGGCCGGCGCTCTTGCCTGATCGCGACTTGGTGGCGGGGCACCGAGCCAAGCACGCTTGAGCCAAAATGGCTACGGATTTGTTTTGTGTTTTCGTGCATGTGCCGCAACGGTCCGGACAGTCACGCAGGGGAGGAACGACGAAGAAGAGAGGAGGGGAGGTCTGATACAAAAGCCTCGAGGGCCACCTCTGGGGCCAACCGAATGACGGAGAATGGGGGCAGGGAATGGCTAAGGATAGAAAAGGGGGGCGAAGGATAAAAGCGGGAGGGGAACGCGAGCGGCGCACCGAGGAGCAGAAGCGGAGAGAAAGGAAGTTCTTCGGTTGATCATACCAAGAGAAGGGCGAGGTTGATGACTATTTTCAGGCTCTGACTTTGCACACACAACTGGAGGATGGAGGAGGAGGAGGAGGAGGAGGAGGAGGACCAGTGACCAGGACCAGGAGGAGGACCAGAAGGACAAGGAGGACAAGGAAGAGTCACGCCCCCATGGCGCCGCCCTCCCGGGCGGAGGATGGCCCAGAGCAGACCACGGGGCTCGAGCTTCGAACTTCGGGTTTCGAGATTACCAAGGCGCGGAAAACAGGACACGCTCCAAGAATCCGAAAGCATCCAGGAAGCATTCCGGGGAGGAGTTCCAGGATGCGACTGGCTCATGATATACTTCCCAGGAATGAATCCCACAGAGCACCTGGCGGCCCGCGCTGCTTGCAGACCGTGTGGACCATTCTATGGGAGGTACTGAAGCCCTGGAGATCTTGGGAAGTATCGTTAGCATTAGGACGGGCGTGTCCCCTGACAGGCGGAGCTTGAGGGAACAAAAAAACAGAAAATATGCAAAATATCGTCCCCAGACCATTGTTTAACTGCGTTGGGGTAGTCCTTCTGTAGAGGGACAGGCCCTGTTACCCTGATGTTCCTCCGGATGTGAGGAGTGTCCGTTCCTCCGGGGCCTCCAGGGGGGGGGCCCCTGACTCCCCTCGAAACTCTAACCCGAACGCACCTGGAGAGATGGGTCGGTGGGTCGATGTTTGACCCTGGAGCCCAGGCCCGCTCGCATCGTGAATTAAATCACGGCGCCAGATATCGGGAGCGGCCAAGAGGGTGGCGTCCAAGAGGGGGGGGCGCAAATCATGACCAGCGGCACGTGCGCGGCCCAAGGGGGGCTGGGGACGTAATGAAATAAGAAGAGGCACCATGAAATCTGGGGGGATATCATGGCCCACGCCATGATATCCACCCCCCTAGTCATCAACACACTCTTTGCCGCCGGGGAAGCGGCCAAGACCTTGAGGGGTCAACAACACCAACAACAACAACAACAACAACAACAACAACAACAACAGCAGCAACAACACCAACAGCAACAACACCAACAACAACAACAACAACAACAACAACAACAATCACTTTACCCGAACGCTCAGTGTTCTCACCAGTGCCAGGGTTTTCATGCGACGCCAGCCAATACCCCCACTTTGTGGGGGGGCAGTGCAAGCTCTACCAAATATCCACACGACTCTTCGCCACCACCCACACCCAGCTTCCCGCCCTATGACGTTCGGACACTTCACTTCGTGGCCTGCGGACGACCGTGGCTACTACACTGGCGTGGAGTACACACCCACAGAAGTTGTTAGGACAGCGCGCGCGGGTAGAAATTTTGAAAAGTCGTGCAGGTGTTTTTCGAGGACCTACGGTGCGATTCGTGTGATTTTATGATGCGCGGTGCTAAAATTCTTAAGAAGCCCAATGGTTTTTGGAGATTTCGGCGTGCGCGCGCGAAGAAAAAACGAATGTGTCCCGCATGGTATTATTTGACAGGGATGATGGCCCTGGCAGGTGCGCAACCGTTGTCGCAGAAGTTCGAAAAAGTTGCTCGCAAAAGCCCGTTTGACAGAAATGTTTAAAAAGTGTTGGGTTTCCTACGAATCCGCAAGAGCGCGCGGGATGAGATTTTGACATTTTTTTGTTGAAAAAACCATTGGTTTTTTGATGTTTTTATGTTAAAATCGCTCCGAACACTAAGCTTTTGGAAGGATTTCGTCTTGCGCGCGCGAATGTCCACTTTACCTTATTTTTTGCAAGGGATTCTTGAAATTTGATTATATTAGAACAAGAAATGTCATTTTATAGTGTTTTTTGCAAGGGAAAACGGATTACAACAAAACAACCGGATCTTGATGACATCGTTTTACCTGAGGCTTCCTCACGAAAATGATGAAAATGTAGCTGCGGCCTAGGCGGCGCAGGGGGGGCGTGCACCAGGGGGCCCAACAATAATTATTCTTTAGAATAATAATGTTCAACAACAACAACAACAACAACAACAACAACAACAACAACAACAACAACAACAACAGCAACAACAACAACAAAACAAAAAACGTCGGGGGTCTGAGGACCCAGCCAGACCCCTGGCACGCAGAAGGATGTAGACGAGAATGCTACGCGCCCCCCCTTGGAGGCGCACGTCCAAGCCGATCATGTAGCACAGAGACCTTGTGTAAGTCACGCTTAGTGTTGTGGATGCCATGAAAATGGATACTCTAACCATCCTGACATTGAGTTACACATGTGTTTAAAATGTGTAAACATGTTCTAAACATGCTTCAAACATATGTTTACATGTTTGAAACATGTTGTAGACATCTGGAAACTATTTGGCAACATGCTTCTTCTCCACTGATCGTCCTCCACAAGTTTAGTGTGTTCTACGCCGCAGAAAGATCTTACACAACATCGTTGCCCAGGCGATACGGCCAGAAAGCGCCAGCCACCTGGCAGATGCTATGAGATCTCTGAGCGCGCGCGTGGCGGCGCCCCAGGGGGCCGACGCCCACGCAGAGCATGAGCGTAGTTGGACGCTGCCGAGCCCCCGACGCCGTGATCGAGATTCCAGGGTTAGGTCGGGCCTGTCCCCCTAATGGGGATTTTGGGCTAAAAAATGAAAATACTCAAAACATGCTCCAAACATGTTCAAAAATAGTCCAAAAATCGTCCCCAGACGATTTCTTGACTATTTTTGAATATTCCTCCTGTAGAGGGGCAGGCCCGACTTCAGTCCAGGGTCGAGGTTCCTGGACGCACGTGCTGCCCATTCTGGGCCTCCGGGGCGCGCCCTCGTCGCCACGGCCGGATCCATCACGAGACTCCGATCAAGGCGCACCCACGGACGGATCCCGGGGCCGGTCTTCTTCGACAAGGCAGGCCGCAATTAGAAGCGGCCCCTGGAGAGGGGACCAGGGGTCTGGAACCCCAGAGGTTCGCATGTCGAGGATAGAGATTCGAGGATCGGGTGTCAAAGCTTTTGGATGTCTGGCATCGTTCTGGGGCCTCGGGGCGACCTCCAGCATGAGCATCAGCATCATCTGCATCATCACCATCACCATCCATCACCACCCATCACAATCATCATCGCCACCACCACCGCCATAATGGTCATCAGCAGCATCACCATCATAACTAGCATCACCAACATCATCGTCATCATCATCAGCATCACCATCATCATCATAATAATAATCATCATCATCATTGTCATCATCATCATCATCATCATCATCATCATCATCATCATCACCATCACCATCACCATCACCATCACCATCACCATCACCACCACCACCACCACCATCATCATCATCATCATCATCATCATCGGCATCGTCATCGACAAAAACATTATCAGCATCGTCATCATCAGCATCATCATCATCATCATCATCATCATCATCATCATCATCATCATCATCATCATCATCATCATCATCATCATCATCATCATCATCACACTCGTCATGGTTCATGACCATCAGCATCACCATCATCGTCATTATCACCCAGGTTGGGTGCATGGGAGACCCTGAGCTGCATATTTGTGCGTAGGCCCTGCGATTGCAACCCCCACAAGGGCGAGCGAGCGAAGAGATGACCCATGGCAGGCAGCGCGGCTTCGCGCCCACGGGTAGGAGATCACGCTGTGCGCTCGATGTGGCGCGCCCGATCCCCGAACGATCGCCGGCACCTGGTGGGCCGTCTGGCCCGTGCGGCGCCCAGTGGCGGGGATATGGGCACGGACCCGCCAGGTCCTAGGCCTGGCGGCATGGGGTCGGTGTGAACGGGGAGACGCATGGAGGGGGGGGGATGATCCCCAAGCGCTGGAAAGATCGAGTGGGTCATCATCAGGGCGCCGTACACCTGGACGCGCTAGGGGGACATCCAAGATCCCTCAAAACACGTTTTTCTCCAGACGGCGGCACCAACAAAACAACTGAACTGCAACACCAACATTCCCAGAATAAACCCAGACAAAGGCCCGAAAAGCCAACAAAGGCTCCCCCTAAACCCAGACAAAGGGCCGAATCCTGCAGCGCAGCACAAAAATGCGATGCCCCGACCCCGACTTGCCAGTGTCATGGTTAGTATTTGTCCTGGTCTCCAGGGGCCTGACACCGTTCCATTCTCGCCCTCCCAAATGAGGTCTGAGCAGATGGAGTCGAAGGATCGTTCCGCATCGCCGATGCTTTGCCGATGCGGCTCGATGTGGAGCTCGATTCTCTCCACGCCGACGGTGCCGATGCGTCGGCGACGTCGCCGGTGCATCGCCAACACATCGGCGACGCCCCGGCGATGCGGCGCGATCCTCCGACCCCGTCTGCTCCCCATCTGAGAGGCCTCTCACCGCCACCACCATCTTCTGGAGGCCCTGGCTCCTCGCCGCCCCCGCCCACGTCGACGTCCACCACTCGCACGCTGCGGCCCGAGGCCACGGCCAGGCGGTTGCCGCGCGGGCCGTGGCCGAAGGACACCCTGGTAGAGGCCCCCCCCCGCCCTCCGCAATCCCCCGCGCCATGTCCCGACGAGGAGGAGGAGGAGGAGGAGGAGGAGGAGGACGAGGAC